TCGTAAACAAATTCAAATGATTGATTCACTTGGTAATGGTCAATTTGGTGAAGTCTATCGAGGAATACTTCGAGTAAATTTTTTTGAATATTTATTTAATTTAACTTATTTTTTCTTCTAATCTTACTAGACTGATCAACAATTAGAAATTAATATTGCTATAAAAACATGTAAACTACAAGATTCAGCAACAACGGATGCATTTTTAGATGAAGCATGTACGAAACTTTTTTTGTTTTAATAATCCACTAGTTTCTATGTTCTTCTCTCATAGATGTTATGCAAAAATTTGAACATCCACATATCATTAAATTAATTGGAGTTTGTACAGAACAACCGGTTTTACTTATTATGGAATTAGCACGATTAGGCGAAGTAATTTGAATTGAATTGAATTATTTTTCAATAAAATAATTTTATGAACTTTTAGTTACGTACTTATTTAGTTGCTAATCGAACTGATTTTGATTTAGTAACATTAGTACTCTATTGTCATCAACTTGCTTCAGCACTTTCCTATCTTGAATCAAAAAAATTCGTTCATCGGTAAAAAAAAAGATTCTTATTGAATTTAATAGAAAATTTTTCTTTCAATTAAATAGTGATATTGCTGCACGAAATGTTCTTGTATCAAATCATGAATCAGTTAAATTAGCTGATTTTGGTCTTTCAAGACAATTAACACTTGATAATTCATATTATAAAGGTAATTCAAAAAAGAAAACAAGAAATTATATTTACTTTTTGTTTTAGCATCGAAAGGTAAATTACCAATAAAATGGATGGCACCTGAATCGATAAATTTTCGTCGTTTTACTCATTTATCTGATGTATGGATGTTTGCTGTTTGTATGTGGGAAATTTTAACCATGGGTAGAAAACCTTTTCAAGGTATTGCTAATACAGATGTTATTGATCAAATTGAAAATGGTGTTCGATTACCATTACCCGGTACATATTGTCCACCACGTTTATATACTTTATTACAACAATGTTGGTCATATGAACCAACTAATCGACCAAATTTTATTGAAATTGAATCACGATTAAAAACAATATTGAATGATGAAAGAACCAATATTCATTTAAAACCTGAAAAAATTTCATTAGCATCATCAACTGAATCAGCAGCATCAACAATAGTTTTACCATCAGATGATAACGTTCCACCTAAACCAGCTTTACCGAGTAAAACTGGATTTATTGGTAGTCGATTACAAAGTTAGTTAGAAAAATAATTTGCTTCCAAAGATTTATTTCTATATTTAGTCAATAATAAGACAACAACCAATGCAAATGTATCTAGTCAATATTCGCAGTTTCGTACTGGTGCTACACAAAAAGTAAATAAAAATATAATACGATTGTTTTTTTCTACTCTCCTATTTACTTTACATGATTAATACCTAGGGATGCAACGGTGACGGTTAGGGTGTGGGTGTCGGT